TGATAGGAATAACGATACTTACTGTAGTAGATTTAAAGTTCTTGAGCATGTCGGCTTTGAGAAATTCGTTCTTTTGTGCCTGTCAATACAGAATAGAAATGTCTATGATGATGATACATGATGATGATACTTGATGATGATACATGATGATGATACATCATGATGATACATGATGATGATACATGATGATACATGATGATGATACATGATGATAATGCATAATGATGGTGATGATGATGATATTGATGGTGTTAATGATGATGATACATGTGATGACGAGGGTGGCGATGTTGATGTTTATAATGATGTTGTTTTTAATGGTGATGTGATCAATCATGATGAAGATGACTAGTCATTTTTTTGTTATAGGATCTCCTCTCCAAGTTAGCACCCAGACCTCTCAACCAACTCAAACACAGGCAGCCCAAGCGGTAATTCAGCAACAGCATCCTCAACAACAACAAATATCCCAGCAGCTACTGCAACAGTCAATACCCCAAGGAATGCTACAAACAAATTTTGTCACACAACTTGGCCAAGTACCTGTCACGCAACCTGTTGTTCCTGTCACGCAAGACACACAACAGTTTCCAGCATCCATTCCTTCACAGGTATTTCAAACTTTAAACAAGTTTTCTGAATGAGAAGCCTGTGTTACCGCTTTTCCTCCGTACATAATAATCAACATGTGAGTTGATTGATTGTTGACAAGGCTCAAAATAAGCACTAGTAACTAGCAAAGTGCTACTGATTTTCTTGAATGTGCTAGATGAAAAAATCTACTAGCAAAAATTGCAAGTAAATCTTTCCTGGATCTGACCAATTTTTCATCAAGAAAAATTAGACAAAAATGTTAAGTTCAAGCCTTGGTTGTATGTATTATATATGTTGTAAATAGCAAATGTAATGGTAGTGCATGTGGAGTGAACCTCACTGAAACACCCCTAACGAGAAGTGATTGTAAGATTTATATTTTGTTTCTTCTTTTTAAGGTATTGATGCAAGTCCAGGAAGATTTTCGCAAAATCATCGAACAACAGAAACAAGAAGAAGAAAGACAACGAAAAGAACTAGAAGAAAAAGTGATGGCATTGGAGCAACACAGTAAAAAATATCAGACTGAACTTGAGCTAGCACAGAAAGCAGCTGAAACTTATCGAGATCAGCTACAAATGGAGGCCAAAGAGAAGGCACGTCTTCTCAAGATGTACGAGTCTCCAAAGAAAGAGACAAGTAATAAGTAATTTATATATTTCAAAGCATTTTTGATGTGCATTATATGTGTATGAAGCATTGTTGGTGTGCATTATATGTGTATAATGCATTGTCGGTATGCATCATGTGTATAATGCATTGTCGGTATGCATTATATGTGTATAATGCATTGTCGGTATGCATTATATGTATAAGCATGTCTGTATATGAGTAGATTTAGTATGTATGTCAAAAGTTATGTCACATGGCATGGTCACAGTGTGACAACTGTTGAATCGATAATGAGATTATCTGTTATCCAATCAGAATTCTTGTACGTAGCAGGTCAAGGTCACAGCACATAAAATTTTAAGACCTTTATTTTACTATGTTGTCCTCAATCTCTCAGTGTGACGTCATTACTTCCATGTTGGATATATTCATTCCTGCTAAACCAGTTTGCACTAGATTTCATTCACATCAAACCAGTTTAAACCTGTTTTATTCCTGCCAAACCAGTTATCACTTGATTCCAATGCCAAACCAGTTTGTTCTAGTTTTCATACTCATCGAACAAGTTTACTCTAGTTTTCATTCTTGTCAAAAAAGCTTACACTTTTTTCCATTCTTCCCTAATCAGTTTACACCAGCTTACATTAGATATCTGTGCTTCTGAATAAATGAATGAAACCTGTTTTTCAGGTTTGCTTTCTGTATATAAAAGATGGTATGTCAGTAACAAAGACATATAAGCTAAGAAACATGTATAAAGATTTGACAAATGTTGCACAAGCAATGTACAACAGTAAGTTATTATTAAATTCCCCTCTCGTGCCGAAACCAACCAGATTGATATTTGGCTTCATATATTGGTTCAATTCGTTCAACCCAACTATTCAACATTAACCCATTCAACCCAAGTTACGTCATTGCCACAAGTACTGGATAAACAACCAATTAGCAAGTTCCAGCAAAACATGGTATTATTTAGATTTTTATACAAAAAGTTTTTCATTTTATCCTTTATGTTTTTGTTTCTTAGTTTTTGTAATCTCAGGTTGCCTATAAATTATTTTGGGGTAAAATTGATTAGCGAGTAGCATTTGGTGCCGACTTTGACATGTCAATAATTCCAGGTACCTTTGCTATTTTACCATATGCCAGGAATTTCCTGGCCCATGGTATAAGGTGATTTTTAATATACTATTTACCAGGTAGTATTAAATAGTCTTGTGTCAATGTTGCCATATATGGCAATTTTTTAACTGTAGTACCATTTACCAGGAATTTTCTGGTCTTGTGTAGGTATTGTATGATTATTTTAACTAGTACCAGCAACTGGGAATTTCCTGGAACTCTTTTGGTGGCTGACACACTGGTCTTTACTGTGTATGGTGTTCTTAATGGTATTTACCAGGAATTTCCTGGTATTGCATGTAATGGTGTTACCGTACATGGTTATTTTAACCAAGCATATATATATATATTATCCAATAACGTGATCTAGATTCATAGTGTGAAAGTAAAATTGCAAAGCATGTAAAGATTAAAGATATTTGAATTTCACACCATTGCTACCTTATTTGTTTTACATTCCTCCTTCAGTTTTGTACCCATTTTAATACTCGACATGATAACTAGTTATGTAGTTTTCAGTTTTCGGCTTCCGACAATCAAATTTCCAATGGCCTGAATTAGTAAATGTTGATTGACAGATGCCAAAAACCCAGACGACTTGAGCTGAGTTGGTAACATAATTATGAAAACGGTTGTAAAGTCCTGTTTACTGATAATAGATCCTCAAATTCGAAGTACATGTATCACATACGTTTGTATGAGTGCCTGGAGGGGGGGGGGGGGGCACCTTTTTGTCCTGAAAGGGATATGTAACATCCTTAAAGACATCAAGTTTACAGATATTTTAAGAAACAAGACTATAATTTTGAAACGTTTCAGCATTTCATACTGCCATCTTCAGTTGTGAAAGAAATACAATCATTACTGAAATTTGTCTTGTTTTAAATTGTACTCTTGTTTCTTAAAAGATCTATGTTTGCTGCTGTCCAGATCTATTGATGACACATCAAGTTATTTTGCCAAAGCCTGAGTATATCTGCTCTCACATCTATCCTACCCAACTCCCATAGGAACAGGGGTGAGTTAGAGCCCCTGCACATAAGCTACCGATCCCTAACACTGATAAATGAACTTATCCCCGGCTGGGGGTCGAAAATGGCAAAGTAGAATCTTCTGGTACTACAGTTTATTAACAACATTGCAATAGACCTCTTAAGTTTGGGCTAATGTTTTCCATTTTAGACCACGTGTCRTTCTCTTGATGAAAAGATTTTTTGTTTGATTCTTTGTATTCATATATTTCTGTGTCTTCTCCTGTGCAACCGTTAAACAAATAAAGGATACTCGAGTGTGATGACAGGTGGTCTTCGATGGGAAAGCATTACGCCCAAGCTAAAAGGGGTTATATAGCATGGCAAAATAGAGAGATATAATACAGATAATCATGATATTGTAGGTTTAAAAATCACAAGAAAAAATAAACAAAATCAATTAACGGTTCTGAAAAGTCTACACGACTCACCCTCCTGATATCAACCAACATGGCGGCAATACCTTTCGTTGTTACACTTTCTTGGGAATGTTTGGACAATGATTATAATTGCTATGGCAACGTATCCTTTTTTTACATTTATTTCTTCTTTCTTCCTCTTCCTAATCCACTGAATGACGCGGAAATCGTTCGTTTTCGGCCACGTTTCGCAGGAACTTCGGATAAAACTCGGAAATCAGCCGAGGGGACAATCGATAAATCTTCGACGTCGCTCATACCAGAGAGTGGCTCCTCGTTTATAAGCTGCCTCTTACATTCGGCATTCTGTGGCTTTTTGGGTTTCCTGCCCCGTTTCTTCGGAAGGGGACACAGTGGCACGCAGTCCGATTCATTACCGATTACTTCCGAAGTTTCTCCTTCGGGTGTTCGTTTCACTCTCCTGATTCTTGGTGACGGAGTTTTGAAGGAATGGCAATCGTTAAGGATCCCTCCCGTCTGTTTGGGGCTCAGGCTGAAATAATCAGTACCATCTTGATCCGACGTAACAGTGGTACATTTTTTTTGTACTCGACTCTTGGCTTTCTTGTATCTTTTTCGAGGTTTCTTTGTGCTATCCTTTTGGGTGGGCAAAGCAGTTTTGATCCTGTTTTTTCCTGTTTTTTTCTGTGTCTTCTCTTCCCTACTTCCTGCAGGTATTTCTACTGATGCAGCTACAGAAATCAATCCAATCTCAGTAAAATCCGTCACATTTGTCACTACAGCATTAGGATCATTATGCTCGTTCGGTTCTTCCTGGACATAGGTTTGTTCAGGTATGACTTGACAAGGGCTTAACTCAGCAAAGGATGGTAGAAAACCTAGGCGGGGTGTCGCGAAAGGTGACACCGTTGCTCCGATATAATTGAGAGCATCTTCTGATATAACTCCATATGTTGTGCTCTGGCTTTCTTGGGAGTTGGATGACTGGGAGAAGTCCTCGATTTGAAACTGACTGGGACTTCCACCGAGTGACAGGCCCTCTGGTGACTGGGGCACTACGAAGGGGCTCAAATCCCTCGTCACATTTGAGTACCCATAGGCACCATATTGTGGGCTACGAGGAAGCTCTTGATCATGTGTGTCATTTCTTGTTTCAGATAAGTGTGCATACTCATCGGGAACCAGAATGACAGGGGACGATATGATACCTGTCAAGGAAGGACTTGTGGTATAAAGGACCCTAGCATTACCTTGGCCTTGAAGTTCCCCTGGAGATCCTAAACCATTAATTGGAAAATAACGCTTCAAGCGAGGGCTTGTGTTCCACTCCAGACAGTTTGTGCCACTCACAGTATTTGCTTCTTCTTCACTATGGTGGCCATATGCATTCCCTTCCCCTAAAACCTCTATTTGAATTTCAGGCTGCTTCTTACTACCATATATCCTAAACTGACCTTGTTCCTCGGGGACATCTTGCTTCCCAGACATTTCTCGTCCTTCGGGCGCGGTTCGTCCCCCAGACTCGGACGCCTCTCGTACTTCGGGTGGTCTTCGTCCCTCAGCTTCGCACGCTTCTTGCACTTCAAATCCGCATCGTCCATCGACACCAGGTAATATACCAGGTACTCTTCGTACGTAGCTTTCATTGAACCTATATCCTTCAATATTCCTCACCGCAATCTCTTGCTCCCCGACGGAGAAAAGGTTTCGGTCACCCTCGCTCGCTGCGTTACAGTACACATACTGACAATCAACACAGTGAGCGTCTACAGAGCTATATACTAGGTCATACCTTGAGTGGTTTACCTCTGTTGAAGTGTATAAACCTGTTATTTCACCTTCATTTGTATTACTCGTAGGATATAAAATATAGATGGAATTCTCCTCCAACTGCACATCTGTAGGGTTCTCCACCATATACACGTTCGGTGTTGAATCTTGTCCCTCGGGTCTTTGTTCCATAGTATATTCATGTTCTTCCAGTGCATGAGAATCTAGAGATCGAGGCACAACATGTCCTGGACTAACAGGGGGTGTGTCTTGGTCAGAAGTACACTTTAACTCTTCGCTTGTGCACTCATTTTCTTTATCACCCATGGACAGTTGTCCAGTGCTGTCATTAGTCTCGAAATCTGAGAGCAAATTGCCAAAATAAAAAATTGTTTGGGATGGGTGTGGTTGAGGCAGTGCCCCCTTAGACAATCTCTTGATATGACCTTTGGAAAAGTGCAATGACCTTCCCYGAGATAGGGAACAAGGTGCCTCGTGGTCAGCCTAAGTTCAAACATCTTTTGTTTATCATACCTTATTTATAAGATATCAACCTTATAAGGTTTTGATCAAAGCTATACTTGGGATAGGGAACACGATGCATTGTGGTCTACCTTGGGTACAAACATCTTTTGTTCATCATGCCATAAAAAGTATTGATCAAAGCTAGACTTGATGACTAAGCTAGATCTTATATGGTGTTGTTTGTACCCGAGGTAGACCACAATGCATCAAGATTATCGAACTTAGAAAGGGCCTAAAGAATAGCATTATTTATTACCTTTTAAAAGTTCTTGCATGTCTGTTATGTAATCAATAGCAATGTTGAGAAGTTTAACCTGACAGTAACAAAAGAAAGAAATCCAATATTAAGAATCATTGATAAGCACCAAATTTCCAGCGCGGAGAAAATTAATTATCATCGACACCACCATGACGTTATCACATCATCATCATTATCATCACTGAGTGATACGAAATGCTTGAGTCTGGGACCCGTCCTTAGCAGCGAGTATATTCTAATCTGACACAAAGTGTTTGAGTTCAGTGGCATTAGCAGCGAGTATATTCTTATAATCGGACAAGGGATACCTTGAAATATTGCGGATGAACTGCGTGTTTTTGTTTTGTGTGTTTTTTGTGTGTGTTTTTTTTTTT